ATGCTTGGTAAAGGGGAAGGGCAGGGAAAAAGAAGCAGGCTCTCGAGGAGGTGGATCGACCCAGTGGCTGCAACAAGGGGCTAGGGCAGGGGAACGACGGCAGTGAGGACGGTGCAGGCCTGGGCACTGCTTCCCTCTCGTGTGCATCAGGTTGCTAAGGGTTGAAACCACTTCAGCAGCATCTAACACAGCACCACTACCAGTAAGGCGCTCAGCAAACCCAGAGAAAGAGGGTGTGATCAAGGGTAATGTAACCAAGAGGAATTACTGAAACCCAAATGAAGGCTAAACATGATAGTGGGACAAGAAGAAAGTAAAAGAAAATAGAGGAAAGAACTAGGAGGCAAAGAGCATCTATAGAGGTCCAAATAAAGGCATGTGTATTTGTAAATATATTTATATATGAGGATGAGGAAATAGACTTATGTGTATATATCTATAGATTTAGTATTAAGGTACAGACGGACACTGGGCCTCCACTCAAGTACTCCCTCAATGCAAGAATACTTTCTTCTATTAAACTGGCATTACATGATGCTCACCTTCCTGACAGAATTGCTGAAGACAAAGCGGGTACATAAGCAAATGTGGTGAAGAAAGCTGAAGGAGCCCGGCTATCAAAAGACATAGCGTCTAGTGTCTTACAGACTTGAAGGTAAACAAGCAGCCATCTAGCTCAGAAGCAACAAAGCCCACATGGAAGAAGCACACCAGCCTGTGTGATCATGAGGTGTTGAAGGGATGAGGTATCAGGCATCAAAGAACAAAAAAAATCATAGCATTGTCAATGAGGGGGAGTGCGGAGTGGGGACCCTAAGCCCATCTGTAGGCACTGGACATGCTCTTACGGAAGGGTCATGGGGAGGAGACAAGCCTGTCAGGGTGCAGTGTAGCAACGATAAAACAACTTTCCTCTAGTTTCTAAATGCTTCCTCTACCCCCTCTATGATGATCCCAATTCTACCTTACAAATCTGGCTAGACCACAGAATGTACACTGGTACAGATAGGAACCAGACACACAGGGAATCCAGGACAGATGATCCCTTCAGGACCAGTGGTGAGAGTGGTGATACTGGAGTGTGGGTTGGAAAAGGGGAACCGATTACAGGGATCTACATATAACCTCCTCCCTGGGGGATGGACAATAGAAAAGTTAGTGAAGGGAGACGTCAGACAGTGTAAGATATGACAAAATAATAATTTATAAATTATCAAGGGTTCATGAGGGAAGGGGGACTGGGGAAGGAGGGGGGGGAAATGCCAGGGGCTTACGTGGAGCAAATGTTTTGAGAATGATGAGGCTAACGAATGTACAAATGTGCTCTATACATTGATGTATGTATGGAGTGTGATAAGAGGTGTATGAGCTACCAATAAAATGATTTTTTAAAAAAAAGATAAACATAAACATAATCCCAGATAACACGTGCAGAACACTAACCCTCAGCCAGGAGCTCTGGTGACTGTTTCTTTAGTAATTTAATTCTTACACAAGGCCAATGAAAGGGAGTCTATTCTTATCGCTACATACCAATGAGGAACCGAGAGCTCAGAAGAGCTCACAGGAACTGATCCAAGTCGGCCTAATGAAGAAGCTCTCAAGTCAGAGCTTAAACTCAGGTCCGTCAAGGTACCAAACGCCAGAATGCCACACAGCGCATTGCATCCTCAGGTCTTGGGGCATCTACAGCCATGGATTCTTAAGGCATAACATAATGACCATTACAAACACAGGGAAATCTGAAGAAAAATTCCAGCAGGATTGGATTACACTTGACAAGCTGTTTAGAACGTTAACACGAAAGAGAAAATGTTCAAGAACTATCTCCAAAACTTGTTTTGGACAAATATATTCTGTGAGACATAACAACATACTGTAAAACTACCATCTTTAACCCAGCGTGTGGTTGGCAGAAGAGGAGACTGATAAAAAGATCAGCTAAACAGGATAGATTCTTTACACCCTGTCGACATGGGAGCTTAAGTCATGACAAAAACAAAATGCCCGATCTGGTGGGGAAAAAACTGCTGAACTGTGAAATCAATGGTGTGGAGCCAACTAGATACAGCGTTAGGAAAAAACATGAAGTTGTACCCTTACCTTTCCCTAAACCAAAAGTCTCTGGGAGTGTACAAAGCAAAATGCAAATGAATAAAATCACTGGGAGAAATAAGTTCTTTTCAAAAGAATGCTCAATTGAAAACGCCTCAATGGGTGAAAAGATTTGCAATATTGAATACACAAAATTCATATTTCTTCACTGTTAAAGATACACAAAACATTAAGTCTGAAATGATAAGAAATGTTTCTATCATCTAACCAATCTGTAAAAATTTCTGCAATAAATACAAATAAGAAAACAAACACAATAGAAAAAAAAGGGCAAAGGACATAAACAAGTAACTCACAGATGAAATGATTCATAAACGTAGAAATGGTAATTCCACAGTAGCCAAATATATGTACATTAAAATGTAATGCTGTATTTCACTAATAACCAGATTTAAAATTTTTAAAAATAAAAGTTAGCAGTTGTCATGAGGCCAGATGAAGGGAAATAGATTCTGACAGACTGATTTTACTATTTCAACTCATAGTGACCCGATATAGGGATCCTGAGACCTACTAGATCTTTGCTGGAGCAGACGCTCATCTGTCCCTGGTAGAAGAGCTGGTGGATTTGAACCACTGACCTTACGTTTAGCAGTTCAATGCCTGACTCACTACACCACAACCAGGGTTCCTAATGGAATATTCTTTGGACATGGTAGTGATAGTTTAAAAAAAAGGAAGGGCAAGAAGGCAAAGATTTATCTTGAAATAGCTTTGGGGGAAGAGATCCTAGCAGGGAAGAGTCTGGAATGTAGTTGAAGATAAGTAGATTTCAGAGACAGGAAAAGACCTTGGGGAGAGGCCAGAAAGGGCAATTGAGAGTGGTGTATTTATCAAGATGAAACCAGGCAAATTCTTTGACTATGCTTACTTCTTTTTTTTCCCCTTAGAACATTTTCTTCATTAAAAAAAAATCATTTTATTCAGGGCTCATACAACTCTTATCACAATCCATACATACATCAATTGTGTAAAGCACATTTGTACATTCATTGCCCTCATCATTCTCAAAACATTTGCTCTCCACTTAAGCCCCTGGCATCAGCTCATTTCCCCGCCCCCCCCCATGAACCCTTGATAATTTATAAATTATTATTTTGTCATATCTTACACTGTCTGACGTATTCCTTCACCCACTTTTCTTTTGTCCAGGGAGGGAGTTATATGAAGATCCTTGTGATTGGTTCCCCCTTTCTACCCCACCTTCTCTCCACCCTCCCGGTATCGCCACTCTCACCACTAGTCCTGGATTCTGTCCTAGACCTGTCCTGGAATCATCTGTCCTGGATTCCCTGTGTTTCCAGTTGCTATCTGTACCAGTGTACATCCTCTGGTCTAGCCAGATTTGTAAGGTAGAATTGGGATCACGATAGTAGGCGGGGAGGAAGCATTAAAGAACTAGAGGAAAGTTGTATGTTTTATCGTTGCTACACTGCACCCTGACTGGCTCATCTCCTCCCTGTGACCCTTCTGTAAGGAGATGGCCCGTTGCCTACGGATGGGCTTTGGGTCCCCAATCTGCACTCCCCCTCATTTACAATGATATGATTTTTTTGTTCTTTGATACCTGATACCTGATCCCTTCAACACCTCATGATCGCACAGGCTGGTGTGCTTCTTCCATGTGTACTTTGTTGTTTCTCAGCTAGATGGCCGCTTGTTTATCTTCAAGCCTTTAAGACCCTAGACACTATATCTTTTGATAGCCAGGCACCATCAGCTTTCTTCACCACCTTTGTTTATGTGCCCATTTGTTTTCAGCAATAGTGTAGGGAAGGTGAGCATCATGGAATGCCAGTTTAATAGAACAAAGTATTCTTGCATTGAGGGTGTACTTGAGTGGAAGCCCAATGTCCATTTGCTACCTTAATATTAAACCTATAAATATATGCACCTAGATCTATTTCCCCATCATATATAAATAAATTTACATATGCACATGCCTTTATTTAGACCTCTATCAATGCCCTTTGCCTCCTAGTTCTTTCCTCTATTTCCTTTCACTTTCCTCTTGTCCCACTATCATGCTCAGCCTTCATTTGGGTTTCAGTAATTTCACTCAGTTACATTGCCCTTGATCAAGCCCTACCAGGCCTCTTCCACTCTCCTCACCACTGATTTTGGATCACTTGTTGTTCCCTTGTCCCTGGGTTGGTTAACACCACTTCCTTTTCCCCACCTCTCCCTCTCCCATGTCTCCCCAGAACCATTGGTCCCGTTTTTTTCTCCTCCAGATTGTTTATCTAGCCTATCTTATCTAGAGAGATATCTGCAGATATCTACAGATATCAGCCTATCTGCAGAGATAATAATATGCACAAAAACAAGACAGAGCAAAACAAACCAATGACCAAAAAAGAAAAGCCTGTAAATAATTCAAGGTCTGTTTGTTGACTTTTAGGAGTGTTTTCTGGTCAAGTCTGATGGAGTGCTATGCCCTGGCCTCAAAGTCTACTTTTGGTACTCCCTCAGGAATTCCTTGCTCTGCTCTCCTTGCTGTTCTGCAGGAAGGAGCGAACAGAACTGTCCCTTTGGGTTTCTGAGCTTGTAAATTTGACAGTGCATGTCGTTACAGGAGCAGGCAGCCTCAGCTTCCTCCCACAGAGAAAGAAGAGCTAAAGTATATTTCTATTTCAAAATACCATGTAACCATTAGTTAAAAAAAAAAGAGAAGAAGAAGGATGTGCAGGCATCAGAAGATTTCTAAAACTTGGAAAATTAAAACAACAAGCAGCAGAGTATGTATCGTCAGATCTCATCTCTATACTAAAAACTATGCACGCAAAGACATTTTGCAAATGAAAGGAAGAGAAAAACACTTGGAGATGATATTTGCCAAACTTTCACCTTTCTGCTTCTGAGTTGTGTTAAAATTTGACATTTACCTTATTTCATATAGGATGGCGCATGAGTCCATTATGGTCCTATTTAAAACAGCAGTCGCTGGCTTGGACAGATAACCTGGAGTAGATAGAGGCCGAAGAACCAGCAGAACCTCAAACCAGGAAGGCAGGCAGCCTAGAAAGACAGAAAGCCGCCGGGGCAGCCCACTCCCTTTTCGTCACTACAAGGAAGTGTGCTCTCTGGATAGGCCACAGTATTGTTTGGGTTTGTCTTGTTTTGTTTATTTTTGTGCCCATCAAGGACTTTCTTCCCCAGGGACAGAGGTCCAACGCTCCCTGTTCCTGTAAGTGAGCAAAAGGGCAGTCACCAGTTTCCCTCTTCTGGAGTCAGCAACACTCAACCCCATTTCCCACAGGAAAACCACATCTCCACCAATTCGTCGGTCAAGACCAGTGAGTTTCCCTGACCAGCTTTTTTCTCCGGACAGGAGAGTGAGCAGAAACCGTGAAGGGCCATGCAACAGCTCAGGACACCCTGCAGCTGTCCCTCCCCACTTGCCTTGGGTTGAAGATGCTGGGAAGATGGAGCACCTGGGGAGACATGTCGTCAGTGGAACCTTCTCTGTCAATGCTGCCGGTGGTCCCCAAAACTGAGGCAAGGAAGCAGCACCAGGGCCAAGAGTAAGTCACAGAGGCAACTTCTGGCTGAGAAGGAGTTCTGCCCAGCCATGAGATGGGAGGTGGAGAGCTCTCTGACCCTGGAGGCATAGCAACAGTATGAATGCTACTGAAGCAGATGCCAAACTGGGCACTCATGAAGATTCTGAATAGGTAGCTGAATAGATGGTGGTCCAGTGGTGTGTGTTTTTCCAAAGCTCCAGAAGTGATTTTTGAGGCACAGCTAGGCTGAAGAAGTCCTGTCCACCATGATTGTTTGGGGCTGTTTCACCCCAAGAATCTGAGTCCCTTTGAAAGCAGCTCACAATAAAGAAGAGCTGGATGATAGCGCCACACCACCTCCAGGCCAACTCTATAAAGAGCCCTGGAGGTGGCAGGACAGCCTTGGTGGCACAGTGGCTGCCCATTGGGCTGCTCACCGAAAGGTCAGTAGTCTTAAAAAGGAACCTCAGCAGCGCTGCAGGAGAAAGAGTTTACTTCTGCGAAGAGTTACCGTCTCGGAAACCCACATGGGTACTTCTACCTAGTCCTGTAGAGTTGCTTTGAGTCGGCATTGACTTGGTGGCAATGAGTTTGGGGGGGCCACCCCAACAAGTTACTTTAACTTTCTTTCTTTCTTTTTAAAAAAGTTTTCTTGGCTGTGATCCTGGCAGGAATATATATATGGCCAGGCCTTTCTTTCGTGGTGCTGGTCGGGTTTGAACCCCAGTCCTTGAGGTTAAAGGGAACGTGCTTAACCACTGAGTCACCAGGACTCTTTAAGATTTCAATAACAAGGTTAAAACAGAATTTTAAAAGCCTTGCCCACTCCTAAAACACATCACCAGCCCCTCCAGGTATCACTCAAATAAATGATGGTGGGACAGAGAGTGTTTCC